ATGCCACAGTCTGTGGTGTGAATGGCTTCTAACGCCTGGCTTACCAGCAGAGACTCAAAGCTCAGAGGAAATGCACAGGAAGTGATGACAGTGTGTGATTATTCACATGATTATTTTATTCAGTGTTGTATCCATATTTGTTTTCAGCTGTTGAAAGATGCTCTGAAAGTAAAGTTAACATGTAAGTAAGAGTAGAGTAAGAGTTCTTTACGAGGGCAAAGTTTCATTCAAAACCAGACCAGACCAAAGCATTTTGTAGTTTGGTTTCACTCTCAGTTCGTCACGCGTTCGGGTGGTCTCTGTGCTGAGAAACTGAGCCACGTCAGATGTTTTTCCTTTTTCCTTTACAGCTGACAGAAAACCACAGACACTTACACAGAAACACACTGTTTTTGGGGGTGTGTGTAACTGAAACAAATGCGCAAATAAAGATGTGAAACAATGCCGAGAACATCGCTCCTGATGCCGCTCTGTAAGTACAGCTTTTCCAAATATGAAATAATAGAAATGGGAGAATTAATGGAAACACGAAAGGTCACAGGAACAAGTGTTATGTGGGCAGATTGAACGATCAGACAAATGAGTGAAATCCTGTTTGATGCTGAAAAATAGCAGCTTTTAGATCAAAGTTTTAGATTTTGCTTATTTTTGTTATAATGTAAGGAACTATTTGCCAGAAACAGATTATAAAAATTGTAATACTGCACACTCAGCTCGCGAAATGTGAGAAATATAAAGTGAAACAGGGTTTTCCTTTATATTTGACACTGTTTCACTTTAATGGAGAGAGAGAATATCAACCAAAGGGTAAGACATTTCTCTTAGGTTGTCACCCTGTTTGTACAAAGATTTGGCTTCTACTCTCTACACAAACTCTAAATGCTTTTGGTTTCTTGGATGCTTCTTCTTCAGCTTCCTCCACAGATTTTCTTCAGGACTGAGGTCTGGAAACTGCTTCACGACACTCCATGACATTAATGTGCTTCTGGTTTAGCAGCTCCTTTTTTGCCTTTGCAGTATGTTCTTGGTCATTGTCATGCATCCATAACCCATCTTCATTTTTCTGGCTGAAGGAGGTTCAGTGCCTACATTCATTGGCCCCTCAGTGGAAACAAGTCACCCTGTACCTTCAGCAGCAAAAACAGCCTCAAACAATAATGTTAATGTCAGGATGGTGTTCTTTTGTTTCATCTGACCACAGGACTTTCTCCGAAGTCTTCCAACAGTCATTCAGATGTTTACTGGCAAACTTAAGATGGGCTTTACTGATTGATATGTTGTAGCCAGAAATCTGGCTGTGTTTTAGGAGATCACATATTTATTTCACTCAGGGACATGAAAATCAATATATTACTTTGAGGTAATATTATTATAATATTACATAAAAGTAATAGTATTACTTTTATTGCATTTCTTGCTGGATTGTTGGACCCTTTTCTGTCTCTCTCTAATTAAAATGAATCTACTATTTTTTTAAAAAATAATTTCTTTCTAAGTCCTTTGCACAAGTGACCACCTAAACTTACAAAATGAGCAGGGGTTCAAATAGTTATTTTGCAACTGCATATACAAAGTGCTGTGAGAAAGCATTTGTTCCCTTACTTTAATATTAGTCAAAGATAACCTGAGTACATACAGAATACAGTTTTTAAATGATTAATCATTTATTATGGAATAAAAGTTTTCCAAACCTACCGTTCCCTGTGTGAAAAAGTAATTGCCCCCCTGATGTCCACAAAACTGTCAATGAGTTGTTCACATCACTGTGAGGGAATTTTGTCCCAATCTCCTTCACCCGGTTGTTTTCATTCAGCCACACTGGTGGGATTTCGAGCATGAACGGCCTGTTTAAGGTGATACCAAAAGCATCTCAATCTGATTTAAGTCCAGACTTTGACTAGGCCACTCCAAAACCTTCAGTTTACTTCATTAGAAAGTGGACTTGATGTTGTATTTTGGATGATTGTCCTGCTGCATGACATAAATGTGCTTGAGCTCCAGGGCACAAACCGATGGACGATGTTTCTGCTTCAGGATTTTCTGGTAGTGAGCAGAATTCATGGTTCAGTCACTGTAAATTGTCCTGAAGTTCTTTTCGTTCAGCAGTGGTTTTCACCTTGGAACTTTCACACGGCTGCCATTTTTGCCCAGTCTCTTTCTAATTGTTGAATCATGACCTTTGACCTTTACTGATGCAAGTGAGGCCTGCAGTTCTTTAGGTGCCATTCTGGGTTCTTTTGTGACCTCC